TGAGTACCCATCATTCGCACCACGGAGTACACGTACTTGTCCAGCTCTGCTACGAGAGCCTGAATCGACAAGCTCGCATGCTCTATGTTTCTATCCTATTAAAAGTGAAATCTAAGAGGTAGCAGATATACCATCTGATTCGATGGTGTCCTTTGTATACAAAAACTTTAATTTTATTACAAGACCTATGTATAAGATACTTGGACGAAATCCTTTAAAAAATGTTTTGACAAAAATGATCAAATGTTGTTGCATTTTATTTCATCAAGAATTTCGTGGTCATATAAATTTCGAAATTTTTTTCATTTCTACATCAAACTATTTAATGAAACATTTGATCGTATTGAATGATCAATTCTATAAAACAAAATATCTCAATGATTCATACATACTTGATCACTGGGCATGTATTTTGGCCTTTTGATTTCATTAACACGATCGAGAAAACTATAATATTTAGAAAGAAAAAAAATGGCAAAATAAAATTTATTTCAAAACCATAAACTACGGACTATTTAGCGGAATCGATCAGTTGATACTCATTTGATCTTTGAAAACATTCTTGTACACCACCATCACGCCATAGTGTTTCCACATCATCAAAAAACTCTGGTGGATAATCGAAATCTAATTGATGTGCTGTTGTTAATATATATGTAGCACGCTCTTGATTTTCTGAATGTTCTAAACTCACAGGTGGATTAATCGTATTAAGGGCACGTAAAATACTCTATACAATATAAAAGTTATATTAGAAAACAACTCATATAAAATAAAACATACGGTTAATGAATCACGTATGTTACGTTTAATATCAGGAATTTTATCGAGTTTTTCTCTACAAATAAAATTAAATAAAATTAAAAATAAATAAAATTAAAATTATACTGTTGAGTGAATGGATCATGTAAAATTTTCATTTGTTTAACAACTGTTGATTTTCCTGATTCACCTGCGCCTATTGAAAAAGAAACCAAAAAAAGTTAAATGAGAAAAAACAAACAGAAATCAAAACAAACCCAAGAGAAGCAGTCGATGAGTAGCTTTATCAACTTTTTCATCTTGTTTTAATTTTGCATCAATTTTCTTACGTTTTTTTTCTTCATCACGTTTCGGACAAATACAACTCCAAAAATTAGACATTTTTTTCTTTTTAACTATACCGTTGGTTGTTCTATTATCGTTTTCGAATGAATAATTCGTCATTTTTTTTTATTATGCTAGTGCATGCAACACTCGGAAGTGCTTACATAATAGTAGAAAAAGAAATTGTGACGTTTAAGTCCGAAGCAACATCATTAATGCAAAGCGTTTCACAATTTACCACCACAGTAATTATGACGAATATTAGATCACGCTTGTAGGGATATTAAGAAGGTAAATAAAAGGGACCAAATAAGGAGAAGAAAAAAAAACAGAATAATAAGAAGGAAAAAAAAAGAAAAATAGTAAAAGAGTGAAAGAAAGAAAAAATAGTGGATTAAAGCATTACATGTGCTCTCTTTTTTTTTATTTTTTAATTAACTCGTTTCAACAAACAACAACCATTTTACAAGAAATGATTCGTGTCGCTCTATTAATTGTTGCACACGGCACGTACGAAAAAAATGGCCGAGGTGATCGTTTTTTCTTTTGTAAAATTCAACCCAAACGAAAATATCATTATAGAAAAGTGAAGAACCAAGATCAGTCAAATGCATTCTGCTCAATCGTCTTTGAATGTACTTCTTAACATAGAACTCTAAAGGGCGTTCTGAAGTAATAGTATAAAGATTGTGTGCAGACACGAACGGACAGCGATACACCAACCGAAGACCTACACTTAATTTTTGTTGCAGTATTTGTTTTTGAGTTTCTGGAAGTAGCGGAACAAACGGAAATAATTATGTAAAATGTGGAAAGGCATATGCAAAGAAGCATTGACGAAGTGCTTTAGACGACATACTCCGTCCAGCTTTCAACCACCATACCCAGTCAAGCAAAAAAATCAGAAAACGCGTTTAAACACTATAAAAATCGTGAACGTTTTCGGATGCTAATCGCGGTTCCCGTTTGTGACCCGGAAACGTTCAAAAAGAACCAACATGAAAACGGCGAAATATTTACCAGCGTTTAATATTATGCACGAAAAACGCCTACTTCTTTTGTAAAATAAGCTGTAGACAAAAACTAACCGTGCATTTGTCTATGTTTTTTTAGCGTTTTTGGATGACAATCGGGAACCGCGATTGTGCACGTAACCCGACCAGTAAAATTAGGCATGAAAACGCTGAATCTCCATCTGTACACATTTTTTCACAGTTTACATTTTTCATAATTTCAAACGTGCACTCGACTTGATTTTAAAGAGATTCTCACCCCGACCCCCACCCCTAATCGGGAATCACGATTGTCAGCGTCACGCGACCATTAAACCGCTTCGTGAAAACACTATAATTCATCTTAGAATGCGCTTCACATCGTTCAAATGCTACACTATTTCAAAAGTACACTCATCTTAATTTTCGAGACACGCCTAGCTCACGATTGTCATCATGCGGCTCCTAACAAAAAAGACATCAAAACGCTCACTTTTCAGGATGCGAAAATTGTAGCGCGTCCACATCATACATTCTGGAATGTGCCCCATGTGTAACTTACTCTTATCAGCACCTGATCATCGAAAACTCCAAATACCATCTAAATATATCGCTTCTTCATTTAGTGGCCATTCAAATTGGACATGTCCCGATCTAAACATATAAGAACAAATATTATACTAGTTTCTAAAATAGATTATTATATACCTTTATCATTTTCCTTCATCTCAAATTCGATCTAAAGATAAAAAACATAATAGATCAGTTTATGAGATATATTATTACATACCTTGAACACTATACTTGATTTTAAATTTCGATGTATATATAAATACATATATACTTAAGTAATATCAATTTATAACATAAATTATTACACATCTTCACCATTGCATTTGACCTCGAATTCCATCTCCCTGCAAACGAGAAAATATTTTATTACTTTCTAAANATATGTTGAAAAAGTGCGTCAATGTATCTACTTGACACCCTTGAACTGAAGGACTTCAGTTTAAGATTTAAAATGAAAGTGTCCTGAATTCTTCTTGATACAAATGTTCATGCTATTGAGTTTTCATATCATATTGTTTTAGTTCAATATTCAACATTTGACGCTTTGATTATTGTATGATTTCGTCACGTTTATTAACATATGGCTGTTGATCAGCATCAGTATTTATGCAATCGAATGATTTTGACAATGAATGATATAGAATTTATTGTTCAAAGGTTGTCAAATTGTAGAATAGTTTTAACTGTTTCTTACGAATCGCTGTTAGATGATCGATTATCTGACACAAAAAAAGGAAAATAGAAAGCAACTGAGGAATTGGGACACTCTGTTTGTACCTATTCATCAGAAAAATTAAAGGTTTAGAGATTTCAAACAGTGGAGAACTGTCATAATCAATTTCACCTACTAAACACAGTAAATGATTTTTGCAGTTTAATATGATTTGTTCTGCTTTTCAACTATTATACTCAAAGTATAACTATCTCAGTATGATAACAATGAATTCTATCTATGTCAAAGATCTTTGAATTCAAGTGTCTGCTCAAATCTATTTTTATAGCAGAAAATTATTTCTTTCTATATTTTTGAACTTAATTATCAGTTTGGAGACATTAGCGGATACATTTCTCATTGTGAGTAGGATCTGAAGTTAGAGATAACGTTGCACAGCACTGTGAGAATATCAAAATAGTAGTGTTAGAGACAACATCAATTTAAGTAAATGAAATTTCACGAAAATTGCATAGAGTTTGGTGATTAAATTTAGTAAGCATTATTGTGTATCACTTTATCGCCTTCGTCTTGAATGTAGAAGAGCAATATATTTTTTCTATAATGAACTAAATGTCAGAGATAAATCATACCGTACAAGGCCTCTTCCGAGCAGAGTACACTTGTTCGTAATGTGTCGAAAGAGTGAGAATTTCATGGTAATGAAAATGAATGCGAGGATATTGCCCATATGACACGATTGCTTATCTGAAGGCTGACTGAAGATAAAAACTGAAATTTTCGAAAAATTTGAGGAGCTTTAATCAATAGTAACAAACGCTTTCATCAGAAGGTATTCACATCATCGTGTTTTTATCTAATTTTACGACTGAAAAATAAAGCATTACATGAAAGGAATCAATCAAAATACTATTTTTAAATATTGATTCTAGAAAGCACTGTAACTCGCATCGTTCGTTTATTATTATGTGCCAGATTCAAAAATCAAGGACAAATGTATGATCTATCAGAATGATAATAAAAACCTTGAGCCATGTGTACACAGTATATTGATGGCAATTTTTAATCCACGGAAATTATTTTTTTTTTCGCAGCATCACAAAAGGGTCTCAGCAGCAATATCAGTTTCCACTTGCTGAAGCATCAAAACGTGTCCTTTCAGTGTTTAGAGCGATGCAGATTAAAATGTCATCTATGTGATAGATATAAAAAAAAAGACATTGTCACGATATTGCTTCATTTCAAAACAAGCTATGATTGGAAATATAATTGGTTATTTCATTTTCGTTCTTGTTAGGTAAATAGCATCAATTTTTACTTTTCATTCTCTTAAGATGTAGTGGTATTCTATTTTAGCGTCACAGGTTTGGCTCAGTAGTGTGGAACACGTGAATAATTCGATTCGAGTTTTAAACTTTTCTTCAGCCTTTCTCTATTTACCCTCTCCTCATCTTCCTAGATGAGAACTCGGTTGAATAGTTGAAACTTGGCAAGTTGAATACTCGAATTGAATCGTTGAAAGGACTTTCGAGTTTAACATGTATGTTTTGTTTACGTAAATGTTTTCTTTTAATGCATAGTGACGATCACTGCGACTACAACCACAACTCAGCAGTCACGTAAGCTTCAGATTAACTCTTTTGACTCTTGCTAAGTGTTACTTTGAAATCAAATATATGTGCCTAGGATGGACAACTACTGGTTCTATGAATTATGCACGAGAATGGCATACAGCATCCGTATTAACAAGTGGAAAAGTATTAGTTGCTGGTGGATTCTGTGCGGGTGGTGCTAATTGTCTAAATAGTTCTGAGTTGTATGATCCGTCAACAGGCAGTTGGACAATTGTTAATGGAATGAACTATGCACGAAATATGCACACAGCATTAGTATTAACAAGTGGACAAGTATTAGTTACTGGCGGACTAAGTGAGAGTAGTCGTTTAACTAGTGCTGAGTTGTATGATCCAACAACTGGAATTTGGACAAATACCGGTCATATGAAGTATGGACGGACCTGGCACACAGAATCAATATTAAGCAATGGAAAAGTATTAGTTACCGGTGGAATGAGTGAGAGTGGTAGTCTGAAAAGTAGTGAGTTGTATAATCCATCAACAGGAACGTGGACAAGTACTGGTAGCCTGAACTATCCACGAAATGGGCACACAGCATCCCTATTAACAAATGGGAAAGTATTAATTACTGGTGGACTCAGTGATGATGGTGGTCTCAATAGCGCTGAGTTGTATGATCCATCAACAGGAATTTGGACAACTACCGGTAAGATGAATTATGCTCGAAACCTGCACACTGCATCCGTATTAACAAATGGAAAAGTCCTAGTTACTGGTGGGATCAGTAAGAGTGGTCGTCTAAATAATAGTGAGTTGTATGATCCATCAACCGGAACTTGGACAACTACTGGTAACATGAACTCTCCGCGAGACTACCATACAGCATCCGTATTAACTAATGGAAAAGTGTTAGTTACTGGCGGAGAGAATCTGTTTGGTATTTTAAATAGTGCTGAGTTGTATGATCCATCAACAGAAACTTGGACGACTACCAGTACAATGAATGATCCGCGAAATCTGCACACTGCATCCGTATTAACAAATGGAAAAGTGTTGATTACTGGTGGAGATAATTATAAGATTTTGAACAGTGCAGAACTATATTTATCATTTTAAACATATAAACAGAAAAACAGATTTCTGAAAGTTTGATATCATTTTTCTTTCATTCTCAAATATCATCATTAATCACAGCTATCTTTTTATAAGAATGATGAAGCGTATCTATAGAGAAGATCGTTTAGTTGATTTATCTCTAAAAATGTATTTCATGTCAGAAAACTATTTTAATTCTCTGTATAATTTCACGCGTAAATGATTGCATTTGTCTTTGCAAATGAATTATCAAATTACAGTTAACGTCACATGGCACTATCAGAATATCAAAATATTAGTATTACAGGAGATATCAACTGAAGTAAATGATCTTTGAAGAAAACTGCATACAGTTTAGTGACTAAGTTTCGAAGGTATTATTTTATATCACTTTATCATCTTCTTGCCGATTGTAGAGGAGTTTCTTCATACACCGGTATGATTAATTTTGCCTTTGATTAATTGCAATTCATAGTGTTTGTTAAAATTTTGTATTATAATATTTTCATTTGCCTTTTTTTTCTTTAATCAATCATATTGTTCTTCCACAACTACGATAATCTCTTGACAATGGTTGCTTTTATCATGAAAACTCATACAA